GTCAGTGATGCCATCCAACCATTTTATCCTCTGTCGTCCCCTTCTGCTGCTGCCTTCAATCTTTCCCAGCATCAGGGTCTTTTCCAATGAGTCAGTTCTTCGCATCAGGTGGCCAAAGTATTGGAGCTTCGGCTTCAGCATTATTATTGTGTGCAATAATAATCCTATTTATGTCCTCGGCTCTTGAGAGGATTAAATGGGACCGCGCAGGGCGGGCGGTTGGGCTCAGAGTCTGCGCACCCGTGCCGGCGCAATAGCAGGCAACCCCCTGCCTTCGCGGGCATCCAGGCCTCAGTTTGCTAAGCTGCGGAATGAATTCGGGGCAGGCCCCAGAGAATGGCTGAGCTCCGGGGAGCGCACGCCGGGGGCGGGGTCGCACAACTGGCTCACAGCTGGGCCTCCAGGAGCCAGGCCGGGTGCCAGAAGGAGAAGGGGGCGAGTGGAGCTGTGAGCCGCGGTAGCCTTGCGGGGGTGTCGGGGGGCGGACCCTGCTTCACAGCTGAGGCCCAGCTGGCTCCTAAGGTCGCCAGCGGTTCTGGAGTCTCCTACGTGAATAAGCTCGCGAGGGAAGGAAACTACAGCGGGGCCTGGGGCTTACCTCACGCCCCCGCCCCCGCCAGGTTGCGAAGCTCCTCCAGAAACCCTCTCTGAATGTGGGAGAGGGTTCGGGCGGCGGAGGCACAGAAGAGAATGAAGGGTACCAAGGATAAAGCATCTCTTCTGGGTTACCCTGATCCAAGCCACCATCACTTTCCTTCTAACTGGGAGGGCGGTCCCTCCTCTTCCACCTTCCGGGTTCAACTCCTCGACATCTCTCAGGAGCTTCTGAAAATGCAAAGTGGACTTCCGGCCTCGGCCCAGCCTCAGGGCCTTTGCACTTGCCTGCCCCTCTTCAAGGAGATGCTTCTCTTGGCTCCTCTTTGAATTCCAGCTCCTCCTCACCTTTTGGGTTTCAACTCACAGGTCGCCTCCTCAAAGAGGTCCACCTTGACTGCTTCCATTACACTCCTTATCACCGCCCTGTCATCACCTCCCTTCCAGGACTTGATCTGTAACTGCAGTTGGTATTTGTTTGTTACGGTGCCCGCCTTGTTCCACCACTGAGTGAATCGTGACGGAACACCAGACCCACACTTTCTGCCTACAACCTTTGCCAAATAGCAGGACCCCTTCAAGCCTCCGTTTTCTCATCTGTCAGTGAGGACATTAATCCCATTGGTGAAAACATCACATCTCTAAGGCGATGTCCAGAACGGTTTCTCCAAATCCAACATGGATTTAGGGAGGCACCAGGAATCTAGAGCAAGGCAACTGGTCAGTTTTGACTGTGGTCATAGGAGTGGTTCTGCCAAGTGCTCTGGCCTAGGTGCCAGCACTTCCTGGTGGCTTTGTTGGCATTCGGATGAGTTTCTGCATTCATGCTGGAGGTGAGGGGGTTGGTGGAAAACATTGATATGGTCTTAGGCACCTGTGTGACCTTTGGCAAGTCACTGTATCCCTTTGTGACTTGTTTTCCTCACCTGTAATAAGGCTTAATAAGAGTGCCTGTGTCTCAGGGAGAGGATTTAAGGAATAATTCCAGGCCCACAAGTCTTCCCTGATAGCTCAGTTGGTAAAGAATCTGCCTGCAATGCAGGAGACCTAGGTTCTATTCCTGGGTGGGGAAGATTTGCTGGAGAAGGGATAGGCTACCCACTCCAGAATTCTTGGGCTTCCCTTGTGGCTCAGCTGGTAAAGAATCCGCCTGCAATGCCATAGACCTGGGTTTGATCCCTGGGTTGGGAAGGTCCCCTGGAGAAGGAAAAGGCTATCCACTCCAGTATTCTGGTCTAGAGAATTCTATGGACTGTATAGTCCATGGGGTCTCCAAGAGTCAGGTATAACTGAGCAACTTTCACTTTCTGGATCCACAGAGGGTTCGGAATCTTCTATCCTTCCAATCACCACCCAAGGGCAAGAGCACCACATAGCAAAAAGAACACCCTTGCTGCTTCAGACTCACTCATTCCTCAACACCTTAGGACCACCCTCCTAGCCCTTGGGGAATCCAAGCAGGCATGTCTTTCAATGGCAGTCAAAACATCTGAGGAGGCTACCAGCGAGACCAGACCAGCCAGACACAGGCAGACGTGTGTCCTCCAGACACGTCCCAGTTCAAGTCACCACAGTTTCCTCTGCATCAGTCTGGACATGATTCCGTTCTGGGGACCAGAAAACTGAGGCTCAGAGAAGCGAAAAGCCTGCCTCCTACAGAAGCTCTGCTCAGCTCTCACTGTCTCTGTGCTTCTACCGGAGTCACTCCATCTATGCCTCAGTTTCCTTGTCTATGAATGGGGCTACCAGAACTGTGTGCTGTCCCGGTAGTGAGGATTCCTTGGTATGATCCACATGGAGCGCTTGGAACGGTCCTTATACATGCAAGGGTGCTATACGTGTTTCAGTTATCTCAGGAAGAACAGGTCTGCGGTTATTTTCCACCTCCAGCTTGGGAGCGCAGGTGATATGATAGGCCAACAGACCTGGGAGGAGCGCTTTTCCTTTCACTCTCTCCAAAGCTCCCCGGAGTCACTGTTGTGCCCACTTGGCAGACGTGGCGCCTGAGGCTTGGAGAATCTAAGAGGGGAGTCCCTCAGAAGTGTCCCAAATATTTCCTTCCAGTAGGTGTGGGCTTGCCACTGGCTACTTCTTTGGTGGAAGAACCCCAACTGCCACAGGGAAATAGAAACAGGGGAGGGGTCATCAGAAAGAAATCTAGATATTTTTTTCAAATAGCATCCCCAAATGTAGAGCTCAGCCACCGCCTGGGAGTCCGAATGGTGCCCTGCTGGGGAGGCAGGGAAGCGGCCCCGCGAAGAGGAGGCTTTGAGGTCGCGCCCCACCTGCCAAACCTAACCCTCCTCGCTCCGGGTAAACCACGCGGCACATGCAGCCTGCAGCACCCCGCGCGCACACGCCCGGTGCTTCTGCGCTAAGCGCGGAGAACTCCAGCAGGACCACAGTCCCGTCCGTCTGTGGAACGTGCTTCCCATGGTTGGAGAAGGAGACAGCCCCTGTGGCCCCATTGCAGCGGATTGTGATCCAGCCACCGTTCGGTGCCCGGCAGGAGCCGTAGTTTCTTGGTCTGTAAAACTGGCAGCAAAGGGGTCCGCGGCGGGGCTGCTGCCCTGACCTACCCGGAGTCTCTGGTCGGGGCGATCCTTCTGTCCAGCCAGGCCCCCCGAATTAAGAGCAGGCCGTTGAATTCGCTTTTACTCCCCGCAAAAACAGGTCGATACGGCACTCCGCTGCGATGCTCTAGGTCCTGACAGCCAGGCTTTAGGGGCTGATTCTATAGGTTCCAAGAGGGGCATTAATTTGCTAGAATTCATCATTCAGAAAAGCATAAACTTGGATTTCAGCCCTCCATGTCAGCCCGGTTCTTGGAGTCTCTAGGAAAGTGTACACACACACACACACACACACACACACACACCTCTTTAAGTAGTCACAATCAAGGGTAACTACCGGCAGTGCCAAGCATCTCACAGAACACTTTCTTTTATTTTATACCAAAAATATTTCAAAGAGATTGTTGCGCAATCCGCACTTTTTATTTTTGGAAAGTCAGGTTCAGAGAGGTTAAGAAATTTGCCCAAGTTCACACAGCTAAGAGGTACCTAAACCGGGATTCCTCAGACCAGACGGTCTGACTCCAGCGGTAAACTAGCTGCTGCTTCTGGAAGCACCACCTTCTCGCCTGGGGACAGGAAGGGGGGCGGCAGCTGAACGGATATTTCAGATCTTGAGCCTGGATTCTGCTGAGCACAATCAGGGCAAAGGGTCTGATTCCAGGGAGACCCTGGAGGCTGAAAGCGGGTTTGGGAGAAGGAGGGTTGGGGGAGGGGGCTCCGGAGGAGGAGCCCCTGGAGGAGGAAGAAGAGCAGGAGTCACCACGGGGTTCCTGGGAGTGCTCGATGCTCCCGTTGGCATTCTCGATGCCTCCCAGGAGAACCTCTTGCGTCCTGGAACTGATCCGGCGCACACGCGCGCCGGACATTGCCCCCGGCCTTGTCCTCCACGCAGCGGATCTCCCCACCCGGTTCTCACCCGCTGAGCTCAGAGCTGTGTACGTCCTTCCCTCCTTCCCGTGTGGGGACCCCCACTCCCGCCCCGTGGACCAGTCTCCTAGTGCCTTCCCTCTCCCTGAAGCCGCTTTCTGTGGGCTGGACGTCTCTCATTACCTCATTTCTCAGAGTTTATCTCCCCCCAATCAGTGTCTACCAGTGGGTCTCCCCTGCCGCCTTTACGTTGCAAAGATCAGAGTCCCCGGGGCAAAGTGACAGAACTCGTGCAGGGACGCCCGAGGGTGGCTTAGAAGTGCTGGGGCCGTTCCCTGGGACGCCGGGTGTCGGCGCGCTGCGGGCGCTTGATTGAGTTTCTGTGCTGGTTTTGTGTGCACACAGTGTGCAGCGCCTGTTGGTTTTGCGTGGTTGGGTGTCTGCGTGGGTTGGTTGTGGGTGTTGCCTCGCATGTGTTTGGGAAATCGCATGTGTTTGGCTGTATGTATCTGTTGACTGTGTGGGTCCGAGTGCTGGCTGTGCATGGCTGGTGACTTGTGCGGGTTGTCTGTGTGTGATGAAGGTTGATCGGATGTGTGCTGGGTGTCAGCGTTCGTTGTAACACGTCTGGCATGGGTCAGTTCTGTGTGTGTTAGTGTGTGTTTGTTGTGCTGTGTGTTGGTGTATGTGCGCGGCGCGCGCGCGCGCGCAGGCGCTGTCTACCGCCGAGGGCGCCTAGCCGGGCGTCAGGCACCAGCCGGCGCTGCCAGAGCAGGGGCTGTGGGCCCCCGGGGCCGCGGGAGGGCGCTGCGGTGGAGGCCGGCCGGGGTGAGGAGAGGGTCGCCGAAGGCGTGGAGCAGGGGTGCGGCCGTGGGAGCTGAGTGGCGCGGCAGGAATTCCTAGAGTCTGGAGTGGGGAGCACGCTGGGGTGCCCTGGAGGATGGATCAGGGGCGGAGGGAAGGTTAAGGTGTTTCCCCGGACGGCCCGCGGCAGGGCTGGGGGAGTGTCCCGGCCCGGCCGCGGTGTGAGCGGTTGAGAGGGGCGGGGACGGAGCCGGGGAGGCCGCACGGCCCCGGGGGCTCGGCCAGGCCGGCGCCAGCCGCCAAGTTGAAAGGCGGCCGCGGCCTCTCGCGCTGCTTCCCATTGCGCCCCCGAGGGCTCCAGGCGGGGCGCCTGCCGAGGCCCGGCCGGCCTCTCCTCCGCGCCGGGGGTCGCTCGGGGGCAGTGGTCGGTGCGTGGCCCGGACCAGCCTCATGGACTGTAGGACTCACACTCAAGGCCCCGGCCTCGTGCTTCGTAACTGTCTTCACTGAGTCTCCTGCGCTAGCTGGGCCTTCGGCCGCGGGTCAGAGAGCGGAGAAGGGAACCCTCGCACCAGGCGCTGTTAGCGCGCGCTCTCCAGCCTCGCAGACTCCCTGACCGCCCAGGCTCCCCGACCTGCACCCAGAGCTAGGAGCGTCCCAGGTCCCCTGCCGCCCGTAACCTCAGTTCTCCGCTGGCTTCCACGCCACGGGCTTTGGTCTCGCCAGAGCGGTCAGAAGCGGAGTTCTTGCTAACCGAGACTTATGTCTCCTCCCCAACACAACGAAAATGCCTTCACAGACATTGTGCAGGGCAGGTGAGGTGTCCCTCCTGATCCCCAAGGGAACAGCCTGTGGTCAGGGCTAAAAGGAGTTAAATTCGGAGAGCTAGGGCCCGAATTCTGAGGGGCGAATTTTCCCAGACCCAAACTGCTGGCCTGGCACTGTGGGACCCTCAACGAAAGGGAGCCGGGCAGTGCCGGAAAAGCGTGGATCCCCGAGTTGGAATCTGTGTTCGGAAACCCTGTTCTCCCTTTTATTGGCTGTGTGACCTTGGGAAAACCGCGTAATCTCTCTGGATCCTTGTTTAAAAAAACAAAAAATCTAAATTTGTTGGGAAGCGTGGGGGAGGTGGTGCGCTCCGGAACTTCAGCACACAGTAGGCTGCGTTAAGCGCTGGCTCCTCCTCCATCACAACCTCTAAACGAGGTAGGTGGCGACTCCGATGTGATTGATCCCAAGTTTCCTGCCGGGGAAGGAAATCGATCTGTAGAGGACCAGACGGGGGAACCCCAGCCCACTCCGTCCTCACTTGATAAACAAGCAACTGCGTTCCAAGGGCTGGGCTGGACGGGAGGCAGTGCCCCCGCCTCGCCTCGAATTCCCGCGGGACGCGGCTGAATCTGTCTCAAGTCCTAACCCCAGAGCGGAGCACCCTCCTGATGCAGCAACCGTTTATTGAGCACCTTATGTGTGCACGCCCTAAGGAGGGAGGAAATCCAGAAACAAAAGCGGTGCAAAGAAGGGGCTGAACGAAAGAAAACAAAAATGGGGAAAACAGGGGACATAGGAATAAAAGGAAACTGGGACCCAAGGCCCGCAGCAGGGCTGGGGCGCGCGCGCAGGCGGGCACGGGCGGGGGTCGCAGGGCGGCGGCAGGTTCCAAACGGGCTGAGACTCAGTGGGGGAAGGGGGCGCGCCCGCCTCGCCTGCAGCTACCGACAGGCTGGAGCCTCTGCGCGTCTGCCGAGCTCGAGCCGTTGCTCATTACTGCAATTATGTAGCTCTAAGTTTGCCTCGACCCTAAATTGCCAAGTTTCGAGGAGCCGGGAGGCCCGTAAGCTCGGGCCGCGGGAGACACCCGATCCCGCCCTGACATTCCTCTCTCCCACACGCGTGGAAAACATTCCGGTGTGGCCGACGCACCGTGAGCTGAGAAGATTGAGATCTGCTCGGCATAACCGGGGAGGCCTTCCGCGCAGGGGCTCGTTGACACGTCCCCAAAATCCCGGGGGCAAGGGAAGGATTCCCAGGCCCATTTCGCAGATGAGAAAACTGAGGAATAGAAAGCGTGGTCTTCCCTACGCAGAGTCAGGCGGCTAGGAAGTGGCAGGACTGGCATCAACCAGTTTCTCTGACTTCAAGTTCAGTACAAACCCTCAATATAGGAGAGTGGACAGGGGAGTTTCAGAAAGGAGCCCAGATTTGTGGAAGGCTCGGCGTCCCGCGCAAGGACACTAGGGATGCTGAGTCTATACAGGGGGTGAACATTCTTTCCATGTCTGCAAGGAATAATGATGTACCTAAGCGCTTTTAAGGGGCCGCGTGGGCGCCGGAGTCGGAGACATTTTTAGATATCACTCCCCTCTCTTGGGGTTGAAGAGTACCAACTCGGGCCAAGCTTGTTAGCACAGAGGCCGGGGACGCCCCCTGAATGCCTGATCATTGGAACTTCCTTTTCTTAGGGAAGGGAGTGGTGACAAGTTCAGACTGTAGCCCCAGCCGCGGGACAGAGCCTTTGTCAGAGCTACGGAGATCGAAGGATCCAAGACGCTGGGTACCTCGAAACTCGCCGGCACCCGCTGAGAGCCCGCCCCGGGTGCGTGAGAGACACCCCGCACTTTCTTGGAATTCGGAGGCCAACCTCCCCTTGGGGCTAGAAACCGCAGTGCGCCCCAGGCTTCCTCTCCACACCATAAGCCGGTCTCTCATCTGCAGAGATGTCTACCCTTCCCGTGTCCGACGTCAGGTACTTCGGGTTCTGATAGCCCTTGGTCTCCTGGCTTCCTCCTCGCAAAGGCTTCCCGGGGCTGCCCTGTCGTGGAATTTGGAGACGCCCCCACGGCCGGACAGAGGTGGAGGTGAGGGGGCGGGGCGGGGGCAGATCTGGTGAGAATTAAGTCAGGGCCCCCCGACTCGAAAGAGAACAGAGCGCCGCCTGGAACATAGTAGGCTTTATTTACTAGAGATCCTTTTCTGCCTTCAACATGCTAGCAGAATTGCCCCCGGAAGGCTAAACTTCGGGCTTGTTCAAATATATTCTCCTGGTAGCCTGAATATAACATACTGTATGAAAGAAAAACCCAGTTTGTAGGCAAGGCTCATGCAAAGGACACCCCCACGGCGCTTAGTGTATGGTCGCCCAGCGTTTTCAGCAAACAGTTTTTTTAAAGGAGTCACAATGGGGAATGTGAAGGCACTCACATTCCGGCAGCCTCAAAATTAGTTCCTCCAGCCGCATCTACACGGACGACAGCGGCGGGGTGATTTAAGAGAAGGGAAGCGACGCCTCTCCATCCCCCACCTGGCCTCCTGTGGGAAAAACAGGTTTGCGGGGGTGGGAATTAGCTGTCTGGATTAGCTGTCTGCAGTCATCAAACCATTTGGGTGATTCTCTTTGTTTTCATAGACGGGTTAAAAAGGGAGAAAAAAGAAAAGAATCGGTTATGGGTCGCCTGAACAAGTGTCCATTTCAGCTTAAAGTGAATTAGAAAATTGAGCCTAATTATCCAAGGTAATTGCTTCAATTCTCCACTTGACTTTGCTAAGGCAGATCTGTCCTGTGTGTTCAAAAAGGCACCCCCCTCTGTCCCTGAATATTGTTGTCACCTTTGAAAAGTTGCTGACACCGAACTACTACCTAACTGAAAAGCAACCATACATGTGAAGAGATGGCAAGGAGTAAAATTAAAAGACTAAACGAATGAGGAGATAATTTCTTGTAGCTTAAAATTAATTTATTTAACAAATATAGCTATAATATAAATGATAATAAAATTTCAAATATACAGTATATTACAACAATCCCTTCCAAAGGGAATCTTGAGAGCCACCCAAATGTACTGTTAAATAGAAACAGAAGTTTTTAATTTTTATTTTACAATTTCTTTCTGGTACTGGTAAGAGAGAGGTCCCTTCAACCTACCTTTGTCACGCATCTGGTTATCACTCCCCCCACCCCACCCCCAAAAACAAATGTTTTACTGTTGAAGTTCTTTTGAAGTTTTCCGGTGGCAAGACCCAGGATCTGCCTCTCCTGCAAAGTTCTTCTCTTTCTCCCCAACTGTTCTCATTTCCAAAATCTTCAAACATGAATTTTCTCTGTGCTTTTTCCTGCCAGGTGTTAGGACAGGAGGCAGCCATGCAGGAGGCACGGCCTCTCGGTCTGGTCCAACCACTAACTCTACTGGGGACTGATACCTTTGGAAACCTCTCTGGCCTCAGTTCCCCATCTGTAACTCGAAGGGATAGATCTAGATTCTAGAAGAGCATCACGGGACCCTCCCAACCACTTTGGGGAAGGGAATGAGACTTCAGAGAGTGAACTCCGGGAGCGACAGAGGACAAACCGGAGCAGTGTGGGGGTTAAAGAGAAGGTGCCAGGCTGTGCTGAACAGGGGAGCACCTCGTGGGAGGGCTCCTGCTGTTTGCTGGAGGGATCGGCTGGCACCCTAGGTAGGCAACCCTGGGCCTTCTATGTCAGGTGGTACATACTGTAGCCGACGTGGGCTGTGTAGAGTCCCACGGGCGCCACGGGCAGCGCGGCGCGTTGGAAAGGGCCAGAGGCCCCGTAAAGCGAGGCGCCCGCGGCGGCTGCTACGGCGGCAGGGCCTCCGAGTGGGAAGGAGAGGCCGAAGGCTGCGGGGGGCAACATGGGTTTAGCGGCCATCTTCAGCTTCTCCAGCTCGGCCTCCTGCAGTCTCTTGGCCTTGGCGCGGCGGTTCTGAAACCAGATCTTCACCTGCGTCTCGGTGAGGCTGAGCGAGCTGGAGAACTCGGCGCGCTCGGCGATGGATAGGTACTGCTTCTGGCGGAACTTGCGCTCCAGCGCCAGCAGCTGGGCGGTGGTGAAGGGCGTCCGCGGCTTGCGGTTGGTCTTGTGCTTGCGCAGGGTGCAGGCCGGAGGGCTCAGCCGCCCTGAGGGGCCGAGAGAGAGAGAAATGCGGCGGGTTAAGAAAGTGGCGCGTCATCGGCCCCGATGTGGGAATAATAATTGATAACAACGCCCGCTATTCATTTGCGTCGAGCACCTCGGCGCCAGGCGCCCGCCTGGAGAGGCACTTGGAAAATGTCTTCTCCAGCTCCCACCGCAGGCCCACAGGGTAGTTTCCTGTCTACCTTTTGCAAATGAAGAAACGAAGCTTCCAGGTAAAGCTCAGATGTGTTCAAAGCCCCATATAACTGGGAAGAAGCAAACAGCCCTTAAATCTAAGTGGCTGCTTACGAAGGCCTTCTCCCACCACCACTCACGGGTGGATATTAACAGGACAGTGAAATGCACAGAAAGAGGCCCTGCTCCCGAGATCATATTTAATTTTAGGCGATGGCTAAACATTTATCATCTGTGCCCACTAAGTGGTCAGCGCCCGGGGATAGGCCGTTCTGTGGCTGAAAATCCCTATCTCCCAATCACACACTCTTTCACTTAGAACAGTGCAGTCCATGGGGTCGCAGAGTCGGGCACGACTTAGTGACTGCTCTAAGCTCAGGCCTCGCTGACCAGAGGTGGAGCAACCCTGGATATCACACCATGTCTAAGTCTCAAATATAAAAAAGTGCCACAGTCTGGGGCTTGCTTTTAATGGGGCTTCTGATGATTGTTTCAATTGTGTTCTAGGCCTGTTCCACGCCCAGCTCCTTGGCCTCTGGTCTCTCTCCTAAGTGTGCGTGTTATGGGCAAAATGCAATGGCTTCTCCTCGACCAGTGCCCCAGTCCACAGAGATCAACGGTGCCCAGCTGTCTTATATACCCTCAAGCATGGGCAGTGACTGAACACCTTGGCACAGAGGGCTCCTGCGGCCAGGGTCTGCTGGGCAAGTCAACGCCTGCCACACCCAGCAGCTGCGGCCCCAAGGAACGTGGAACACAATTATTCCCAGGACAACAGAGATCACGTTGACTTTGGGTCAGGATCCAGGCCCGAAAGGAATTTTTAAGTCCTGGAAAGGACGCTTTGCCTACGCAGCAGCTTCACTTGGGGAGAAATGAATTCAAATCTAGAGAATGTTTTCACCAGGCGGGTTTTGCCTAATTATGCAATTTTCTTTTTGGAATGCTTTAAAAAAAAAAAAAAAGATCCTTTGGGCTCTCAGGCCACCAGGATGTGAGTCAAACGAAAACTGGTGTTAACATCCCCCCTTCTTCCCTGGTCGAGACCATTGAGAGTCGGGAAGCAGTTGGCCCCCGACTCGCTTTCCGCCGGGCCACCCGAGGGGCGGGCGCCGAGGGAAACGTCACACCCTTCGGTAGTTAACAGCACAGCGCTAGGCCACCTTCTCCGGCCATTAGGCCCAGGGAGGGGCTGGCCTTTCAAAGACGTTTAATCCCCCGATAAAAATCATTCCTCAGCATTACGCCATTGAATTCGGGTTGCTATTATGCCGCACCAAATAATCGGAGGAAACGAGGAAAACTTGGGAATTTCCCGTGCTCCTGAAATATCTCCGAGTGTGTTCGCTGGGCAGAGAAGCCCAGGGGCCGCGAGGCCTCGGAACGACCCCGAAGGCGCCTTTGGCGGCTGGAGTTCGCTTCCAAGACGCAGTCCGAGACATTTGGGAGCTCCCGACCGAGTTGGAGGGGGTGCCTCCCACTAAATGACTTAGTGCCCCGCCCCCTCCACTGGAACCAGAGCGCTTCGCCTGCTCCCCTAGGATCCATTCACCCTGAGCACCAAGTATCTACCTGAAACACGAAAGGGGCGGGGGAGGGGGGAATTTTGCAAGAGCTTCGGAAACACAGTGGGCAAAGAAATACTCTGATGGGTGGATGTGGAGAAGGGGAGGGGGCGCACTAGGCTTCTACGATGAGAAAGTGAAACTCTGCGCTCTGGAAAGATGTCCCGCACCCTTCGAACCCACCCGTTGGGGTAACGGCGAAGTAACAGGGCTTAGGGTCTGACAGAGGAGCCAGCCGAGACTCCTGGGGTCGTTTGGTGGGGGCCCGAGATGAAGGTGCCCAGACACCCGTGTCCTACAAGTGAACTCCTACCCACAGCGTCGCCTGGACAAGGCGAGGAGCCCGAGAAGGTAAACCGAGAAGAGCTGGGCCTGGGCCAGGCCTCGAACCCTCTTCCTGGGTGGGAGTGGGGAGAGGGGTCGGCCCCCCCCACCCGCCCTGTGCTCCCCGACCACCCATCTGCAGCACCGGCTCCAGGTACCCGGCCGCAGGTACGCAGACGCCGGAGACAAACAGGCGCCGGAGCGCGGCCTGGCGCCCTCGGGTCCCACACCCCCGCCGGCTCCCTCCCCCGCCGCCTGGGTTCTGGCTACTCACTGGCCGGGGGCGGGGAGAAGCGGGGATTCTGCATCCACGGGGTCCTCTCAGGTTTCTCGGGGCTCTCGGCTTTGACGAGCGCATCTTCTGGCAGTTTGAGGAGTCCTCCCACCGAGAAATGGCCGAGCGGCCGCGGCGAGGACGGCGCATCCGGGGCGCCCAACGACCCGGGCCGGGCACCTAGAGGCTGCGCGGAGCCGCCCGCCGCCTGTGCGCCCTCGGAGGCCGCCAGGACGCTGTCCTTGGCCCCGGGTTTCCTGTGATCGGCCATGAGCGCCTCCACGCTGAAGGGCAGGAGCGAAGGGGACACTTTGGGCTTGGCCCCCTCCTCGTCTGCGCCCATGGCGGACGCCGTGGCCGCGGTGGTGCTGGGGGTCTGGCCCCCGCCGCCCCCCGCCGGCTTGCCGAAGGCGGAGTCCTCCACTTTGACACCGAGTGGCAAAGAAGTCATGTCAGCAGCCGGGGCCATGCAGAGCCGGGCCCCCCCTCCAGCCGCAGCTCGGGCCAGCCGCCGGGCATGAGCTTCGGGCGAGCTGGGATCGCGGTCGGCCTCTGGGAGCGTCCGGGGCCCTGGCCGGGCGGGCTCTACCGCGCGCGCCTCCCGCCCCTCCCCAGAAGGCCAGCTCTGGCGCTCCGGGCCTGGTTATCCGCTGGCGCCGCCGCGCAGGCGGAGTTCTCGGGCGCACCAGCCGGCTCCGGGTCGGGCCGCGGCTCCCCAGAGAACTTGTTAATAAGGCGAGGCCAGCGCGGCGGCGGCCAATCAGCGCGCGAGGGGGCGGGTCCGGCGCGATCCATTGGGCCCCGCTCGGGCGGACTTGCCCCGAGGCGCGCTGGGCCTCGGGGCGCGTGGGGCTGGGCCGGGGCCCCAAGAGGGCAGAGGAGGGGAGTGGGAGCCGGAGAAACTTTCCTCCGAGCTACAGCCCGTGCCGCCCGTCCCTGTGTGGGTCCCCCTGGGTCTCTTATTTTTCTCTGTTCCTGGGGGACTTCCCCTTGTGCTGTATGCTTCTCTTCTAATCTACCCCCTTCCTCCCCTTCCCTTATCTCTCTTCTTTCCAACTTCTCCCTTTTTTTCTCTATTCCTTTCCTGTTTCTCTCTCCTACCTCCCGCCTTACCTTTCTGTTGGGTCAGTTACTTGGGTGTGTTTCTCCCTAGTGGATAGTGGAGGATGGTTCCCCTATTTACCACGATAATTGGAATTGAAGTCATTTCTTGTATATTCTTTTTATAGTTAAAAAAAAAAACCCTGCAGGCTTATTTATTATAGTAGACATAACAATTTCGTCTGTAAACACCTTCATTTTCTTCTGTTTCAATCTTCAAAACTTTACCTCTGCGTAAAAGTGGGCCTTTGTCTTCGAAGTGCTGGACTGAAGTTTGCCTAAGAAGCCACGTTCGCGTGGTGCTACGGATGTTAAGAATAAGAATGCATTATGTTATCTGGAATGCATAATCGAGTTTCTCGCTGTGAACTTTAGGGGCGGGGGTGGGGTGGGATTGCAACACCTATACTGGCTACCGGCTAAGGGAAGGAGCTGGTCATTTTGATAAAGAATTCACTGACTATAAAACCAAGAGAAACGACCCCAAAACACTGACCTGGCCTTAACATGACCTCGATCGCGTGTCCGCAGAAACAATGATACGTCCCCATCTCTGGATCTGATCTTGGGGGGTTAGGAAGGTGTGGAGGCACATTGGGAGAGAGGACGAAGAAATGAGGACACTTCCAGGGACGGATTCTCCACGCTGGGTATGAGAACTTTTATCCTGCCAATTTCGGAGGAAACGTGATTTTTATTTTTGCTGTTTAAAAAAAGAGGGGAACATGAGTTGGGGGGGGGGGTGTGCGGAGAAGTAAGATCCATACAAACTCGGATCGTGGCTCCGAGGTTTTCTGCGCCTCTTTATGGCCTCTTATCCCGGGGCCCAGGCCGGCGGCTCCCCGGGAGCTGGCGGCGGTGATTGGCGGTTCACCGGCACCGGCCACTGATGGCTGCAGGGTTCTAATCTCCAGGAAACACAAGGGGCTGCTGCGGCCATTTAGGGGTAATTATCCAACCGCGGAGGGACAGCGAATTCCCTCGCCTTTTAACTGGGCGCAATAAAAACTGTAGATTAGGGGCGTCCAGATTAAGGAAAATGAATTACTAGAGCGGGAACTTTATTACCTGGATGGCGTCCGGGGTCTGGCGGGAGGGGTCGGGATGCGAACGCCGGGGAGATTGGCAGCCTCACAGAAGTCCGCAGGCTTCACGACGTTAAGGCCTGGGGCGGGTTAGGGAATATCCTCTCGTCTGTGAAATTTACGCCGCTTCTGCAGACCTCCTGCACTCCCAAGCCCTGGGCAGGGTTTAGGGCCTCCAGCTCGCGTCTGGCCCAGCTGGAGGAGCGGCGCACCGATGCGGCCTCTCTAAAGACACGGGACCCCTGGGGGAGACAGGAGAATAGAGTCCTTCCTCCAGGCCAGGAAACCTAGGCCCCAAGGTTTGCTTGAGGGTTCAAGGATAAAGGGCTATATACTCCCACTTTAGAACTATAGGAACTGACACTCAGCGAGGCTCCCAGTCGGGATGGACAACTTCTATCACCCGCATTTCCAATTAAATTCTCCCTGGGACAGGCACGCGGGAATTTCATTCTGCACTAGGGGGTTGAAGAAGGAGAGACAAGCGAGGCCCCTAGGCTGTTTAGGTCAACCTTTTCAAATCGATCAGTGCTACTTTCTGTTGGGACTTGATTTTGTTCCGCCCTCGGCTCGCATCTCAAAAAGTTTGACTTCCAGATCACTTTGTGAATCTGCTATATATCAGAACTTTCTCACTAGAAAATGCACATCAGCAAAAACAACTTCAAAGGAGTATCCCCTTGGAGTCCGCCAGATAAGACCACCTCCTCCCCTGCTTTAGGGCTTTAGGGGGAGCTGGGGCTCGAACCCCAAGAGTGCAGGCGCGAGGCGCAGAGGAGGCTCAAAACTGTGTCCGGCGGGGGCAGCCAGGCCAGGCCAGGCCGCGGGCCGGGCGGCCGGGCGGCGGGAGAAGGGCCGCATCGCTAATTGCGGGGATAAACAATCTGTCACGATCCCTCAGCTCGCCTAATAGGCAGACGAGGATGTTGTTTTTAGGCGCCAGCGGCGGCCGGATCAAAGGCAGCAGCCGGCGCAGGGGCCCTTGAAGTCGCGCGCCCCCGCCTCCAGGGAGCAAACCGCCTGCGCCCGCAGCCCACGGCCCTGCCGCCTGTCCCTGGGTTTCGCGAGCCCGGCCCGAACCCCATAGCCTCTTTTTTTTTAGGTTCGGCCTGGGTTCGTGTCTCCTCTGGCTCGGAAACGGCGGGAAGAATGCGGAGGAAAAGGGGTGCAGAGCGGTGGATTCCACGTGGAATCCGTGCTCGGAATCGCGCCGGGATTTCCACCGATCCGCGCCTGGGCTGCGGGGTAGGGGAAACGATGCCCACGGTCTCAGAGAAGGGACTTTGAGAAAAGGAACAAACTATCTCTCTCCCGGGGCGTGTGGTTCCCGCGGAAGGAAGGGCACAAGTTGGGGGCAGTGAGAGAGCGCCTTCTCTGCGCTGATTTTTTTGTCTGGGCCTTTTCGGATTTCCCGGTTGGCGGGTTCCAAGAGCTGACAGGGCCGGGGGGCTGCGCCTGTTATCTCGCCGCCAGCACTAGCCCCCAGGCGCTTCTACTGCCGGCATTTCTCGGCGTGGCCGCGGCAGCCCAGAAAGCCGGGCTGTAATTCATGCCTGGCAAGGGCAGGGCTGGCTAGCCGCAGATAAAGCTCGGGGACTGGCGTTCGGCTTCCATGCTCTTGCACTCCGCTCCCCTCCCCTCCCGCATCGCTCCTTCTCCCCTGGTTCCGGGGCATCTTAAAGCACTCCCCGCGCCGCCGCTGGGAGCACCTCCGCGTTTCGGATCCGAAAGACGGCTTGTCCTGCAGCCACTCTCTGGGCAACTGGTTGTGGTGGTGTTCTTCCCCCTTCTCCCCCCCAATCCGCCCCCCCCCCCCCGCCTATTTTATAGGACTGTGGCGGCCGAGGAAAAGTGGTGTTTTTAGGCTCCCCCCCTCCTCGTGGGCAAAGATTCCTTTGGCGAGGCATCCCGTCTTAGAGGCCGCCGTCTTTATCTGGGTGTTGGCGCGGCGGGTTCGGAGAGCCCGCAGCAAGATCCCTCACCTCTGGCATTCGTTGTCACCTCCGTCGGGTTTCTGTTTACGCCCCCCTCCCCCGTTTCCCAATGCATTTTGTGGCCTCGACCCAGGAGTCCCGCGTGCATTTTTTAAAAATGTGCAGCTCAGTGGGATCCCCCGGCAATTAGCGAGCCCCAAACAGTCCTCTTTAATAGAATGAATGTGCTATGAAAACCGATTACCCGGAACGATTTATTTTGGTGGGAATTCACCAATCTTCAGGGGGGCGATGGAGGGGGAGAGAGGGGAGGTATTTTGTCATGGGAATGGAGGGGGGTTGACAAGTAGACAGCACGACCAGGGGATCCCCCAACCTGCGGAGGGGGGCCTCCCGAACCCAGTTCTCCCGCCTATTGGCCTCTGTCGCCTGGAAGTGAGCGCCTGGGAGTCAGAGGTTTGGGAAACGGGGAGTCACTGATAGAATCCTTTGGGAAGAGTTCACAGCTTTCCAGAGAAAGACACTGGAGAGCTCAGAATTCCAGGGAGTCTTCAGTTGTTGCCTGAATATCCACAGCGGAGCAAAAAAGCCTTCTGCTTGCCTGGGACCTGGGCAGAACTTAGGCCACTTAAGAGTTTTTGGTGCCCTTTTTAATACAAAGTAAAAAAAAAAAAAACTGGTTGCAAAAAATATTTTCTTCTTGCCATGCCTCCGCTTAAGCGGGCCCCACTTGTGCAGTGGAACTGCCCAAGTGCAGTGCATTTTACTCGGCGCCAGAGAGAAATCGACAAGTCCGACTCCCTGCTTCTTCCCCTTCCCGCCCTTCCATCCCCTCCCCCCTTGCTTCTTTCCTGCAGATCGGGCCTGGGCTTCCTTGTGTCTTTAAATTCGGAAGAGGGTGAGGGGTGTAGATCTGCGGGGGAGACAGTGGGCCCCCCTTTCAAATGGCCCAAATTAATGTGATCGCGACATGAGGGTGCACTTGGGGAAGATGAAAGCGGAGGCCGGCCGGCTCCTCCTAGAGCTCTATAATTATAGATAATATATCCCATTTCAAAGCAATTAGACCAATCAGGCGTAACGAACCACTTTGCTGCCGACGAATAACAAAGGCGCACGGTTATTTAAGCCCAGAGATGTCAGGCAGACCCCAAGGCTCCAGGGGCCGACCAAACATCTTCCATCCTGGCTCTGCCCACCCTGGGCCAAAGAAGGTTCGCCCTTCCCCACCCCCCACCCTCCACCTCCAAGCTCTGCCCACAGAGGGCCCCCTCTCAGTTCCGGTAGGGGCCTGGAAGGGCAGGGGGTTGGAAGGAGTGGGAGGAAGAGAATTGACTTTTTTTGAGCTGGGTGTCAGGACTCTTGTCAGAGGTTTCACAAACTTTATCCGCTTTAATCCTCTTACTTTGGGAGATAGGTATTATTATAGGCTTTCCCACTCTTTCCAGATGAGCGAACAGAATCAGAGAGGCTAAATATCTTGCCCAGGGTCACACAGCTAGTTAGCAGTGGCGCCAGGATCTGGACACGGGTGGGTCTGAGCCCCCAAATCCACTCTTTTCACTCTGCAGCAGTCTCTCTCAGGGAGCTTTCAAAAGAGGAGATGCTCTAAAACCCAGAGGGTGCTGTCGGGATTTGATGGCACCGCCTCCCTCAATCAGGGAAATGGGTTTTT